CGCGTGACAATCGGCTGCGCAGCTGGCGACGCAGTCTGTGCGAGTGCGCGAGGCGGAGGGGGGGGTTAGGGAGGGGAAGAGGGGGGCGGAACGGGCTGCTGGAGCGGAGACGTCGGAGCAAGGCCCCTACCTATAAAACGCTAAGCGGATTAGCGCAAACTGGGGCGCACCCGGCCGGACAGCGCCCGGAAACTGTCCACCGGGCGTCCCACAGCGCCTTTGCCTGCACCCACCTGGAAGCTCAAGAAAGTTCCCCCCGAGCCACTGTCGAACCCACCGCTGCAAGCCTCGCCGCGCCACACGACCGGACCAAGCAGCCAAACCCGTCGCCCCTCGCCGCCACCGATCAGAAGAGCCGGCCACCCCGCCCGCCGCCCCCCCGCCGCCCCCGCCGCCCCACAGAGACAAGTTCGGCAAACGCCCCAACCATGCGCGCCAACAGCTTTCGCTCGGCCATCCCCCGCCGCCTACCTAAATAGACCCAAAGCAGCCAGAAAAGCCGCACCCAAACCAGCTTAAAAGACTACCCGGCCGCCACCCGGTCCGCCACCCCCGCCGCCACCCCCGCCGCCACCCCCCGCCGCCACCCCACGCCGGTCCACCCCCGCGCCACCCGCCGCCACCCCCCGCCGCCACCCGCGCCACCTCCCTTTTCTGGGAAGAGCCAAAACCGCCACCTTTCCCGCCGCCACCTAACACCCGCCGCCACCCCCGCGCCACCTAAATCCCGCCTGCACCCCGCCGCCACCTTTCGCCCGCCGCCCGCCCCCACTTTGATAAAAGGGAGAAAGCCCTCCGAACCCCGGGGAGGAAAAGCCAGAACCGTGCCCCCAAGAGTCGCCGTCCGACTTAACCCGGCCGCCCCCCCCGACTCCGCGCCCCCGCCGCACGCCCGCCGCACCAGAGACCTACCCAATGAACCTGCACTAAGCCCCGACCAAAAAGCCTGTCCCGCTGCCTTACAAGACAACCCCGCCGCCAAAACCGGGGAGACAATTCCCGCCACCGCTGCCGCCTCCGACTACCTCCGCCGCCCCCGACACCCGCCATCCCCGCCACCGCTGCTGCCTGTCCGTACACCCCGCCGCTCCGAACCCGCGGCTAGCCCCGCCTGCCAGCCTCCGCCGCCCCGCCCCCGTCACAAGCCCCGCCGCTCACGCACTCCCGCCACCGCCACAGCGACCATCTCCATCGTACCGCCATCTCCGCTGCTCAGGGGACCCGGGCAACGCTGCCGTTGCAAACCTCCGAGACCCATCGCCCCCACTCCCAATTTTTACATTCACCGCGACAAGCCTCGCCTCCAACGGCTGAGGTGGCTCAGGGCATCAACCGATGTCACTGTAGTGCGTCTGAATGGGAGAACCTTTGTTTCTACTCACGGCGGTGGCAGGATTTTAGAAACTCCATAGCTATTCAGCCGCTGTCTGGAGAAGTCTAACGGTTGGCGGCACTGATCGGTACTTTTCCATGGTTTCTCCGTTCAATACCAATCAAATGTTGGAGTAATACCCTAACAAACAGGCCGCGGACCGCACGCGATTTTTCATTTCTTCCTTGTCCTATTCTTACCACTTACGTATTCACATATTATATGTACCGCACTGCCACACAAGTCGAGAGACCGATCGAGATCTTAGCGCTTGTCCCGGCTGAGGCCGTGTCACGGTGGTGGGAGATACCTGGTTGGAGAAAATCGTCTTAAAGCGAAGTAAGATCTTGCCAGTCGGCGGAAGATCACCGCCACCTCCCGCTATAAAACATGCACTACACTTACGGAACAAATGACCTTAGCAGTTGACACGCCTGAAATCCTCAATCAATGAATCAACATCAGGCACGTTCCGCCTCTTCTATATTACCTCCATGTGTTGCCCCACCAGCCCTGTCTTGCTGCACATCACCTCATGTCGCCTCGCTTTGCCACACCTCTCTCTGCTTCAACTCTACCGGCCTTAACTCGCTCCAAATAGATTGTTCAGAGCATCAACTGATGTCACTGCAGTGCGTGTGATTATATGTTTGTATACCCACGGTGACAGGAATTTCGACTCTAGCTAGAGAGCTAGATCTAATTCAGCTGATGACAAGAGGAGAATCAAAACGACTGGTTGATCTGATTTTACCCTAATAAATGACTCGTGGACCGCGCTTGATGTTGCCTTCCCCGTTCTTGCGCCCAGCCCACCCTTTTTACTTATACACACACCCACTCATACACATACACAATACATATACACATGCACATGCACATGCACATCACATCACATCACATGCACATGCACATACGCACATGCACATGCACATGACACACATGCACATAACATACACATACACATACACATAACACATACACATACACATACACATCACATCCACATGCACATACACATACACATACACATACACATACACATTACACATACCACATACACAGCACTCACATCACATGCCATCCATGCTCACGCACATGCCAACACATACACATACACATACACAGACACATACACATACACATACCACATACTACTAACACAATACAATACCACATACACATACACAGTACACAATACACATACACAACACATCACATACACAACACATACACATACACATACACATACACATACACATACACATACACAACACATACACAACACATACACCAAACACCAACACATACACATACACCATAACACATACACAAACACATTACACATACACATACACATACACCATCACACATACAACATACACATAACACATACACATACACATACACATACACATACACATACACATACACATACACATACATACACATACCACATACACATTACACATTACACATACAACATACACATTACACCATACACAACACATACCACACTACACATACACCAATACACAACATACACAACACAACAACATACACATACACATACACATACACATACACATACACATACACATACACATACACATACACATGCATTACACTACCACACATGTCGGGGATTAGAGCTTGTCCCTTCTGGGACGTGCCACACTGGTGAGATACTGGGTTGGGAAGAAAACACGCTAGCTGACAGGTAAGTTCATTTATTTTTTATTTATGTGAAAACCAGTTAAAAGGTGTGTGACGTACTATGGGGAGAAGTTAATTTGAAGTTACATTTATGTCCACAAGGAGCCATCTCAGCATTTGCTCCAGGATCAGGGAAACTGGAAGAAAACCTGATCGAGATGGGGTTCATTGACCCAGAAGCTGAAATACAATACTTGTTACAGGTTCTTTACAACTATACCATCCAAATGATATATAATACATTAAATGTCATTGTTAAAATGAATATTACTTTCCCTTTGGATGTTTGGTATAGTCTCAAATTGTATAGAAAAGGTGGAGCCGGATCTCACCATCCAGCGCAGGAAGATCACCGTCACCTCACGCAATGAAAACATGCACTACATTTACGGGACTAATGACATCCGTTGATGCGTCACTAGTCAATCACCGTTCCTCCCGCCACGTTGTCCCGCCTTGCCCCCGTCACTCCTTTCTTCCTCTGGGTAGCTCGGTCAACCCGTTTCGCCGAGCCCTACTCCACCCTGCCTGCCGCCCCCTTCCAGCGACTCCAGGGGCTACAACATCACGCGTCGCTGCGCTCATGGTTCGGATCTCAGGACAAGGGTCCCCACTCACGCCCGGCGTATCGATAGCGCCGTTACAGCCCCGGATTTGCCTGTCTGGTGAACGTGTGAGACATTCTTTTTTTTTAATGCCGCATCAACATCTAGGTCATTAGTTGTAGTGGTGGGTTTTGATGACCAAAAATATTACCAAAGATTATCAATAAAATTCTCCTAAAATGTTTTAATAATGCCCAAAAACAAAGAAAAATGACGTAAATCTTATCAACTACTATGTCATTAGTTGTAGGGGAACATTCTGATGAACTACAATATTGCCAAAAATGTCCAATAAAATGTTCTTAAAATGTTTTAATAATGACCTAAAAACATATAAAAACGACGTAAATTATCAAAACCACTTCAGATAAACAACGCAACATGTCGGATATTTTACCGATGTAATCGAGACTTCTTCCTTTCGTTTAAGTAATATGTGCTTGTAAACTTTTGGTTCCGGCTGTTCTTTTCAAGAAAACTTCTGCCTTTTATCGCGAAATCGCCCGAATTGACAATGACACCTATAGATACCTTTGAGAACATAGTACTCATAACGGCTGACATTACAATATAGTGTGAGCGAAGAAATCGAGTAGGCTATACCGGAACATTTGTTGCCTATAGTAAATATTGTTTGAAGCACGTATCATTAAATTGATATTAAAATCTATTAAATAAGCAAAAATGCATTAAAAATTACGTAAGAGTTAAAAAATGACTTATGAGTCGAAAGCGACGAAAAATGTTTATATAAAGCGACGTAATATGTAAAAATAGGTAATTTCCATTTGTCATAACAAAAAAAGGAATAACCGTACTAAACGAAATTGTTCTAATGTGAAAAGAATAAAGATGTAATATCATTAAAATCCCCCTCGTCATTAGGGGCCACTTTATTGATTTTAACGTTAGGGTATCCGTAAGAGCATTTCAGTGGACGCACCTCTTTACACGGTCAGTGCACAATAATAACAGTCGTGGGGTTGAAGACACAGGGTTAGACCACAGCCACCTTCATTACTGAAGGTAGCCGTGGTTGGACTAGATCCTATGAAGCAGCCAAGCTCGTTTTGTAGGAGCAAATTTCACGTGAGATTGACCGAGAATTGAACCCGGGTCTCCTAGGTAAAAGGCAAGCGACTTTCGCTCTGAATCACGAGATGGCCCCTCGTCCAACTTTGCTTCAGATTCACATGCAGGTTGACGTTCTGACAGCAGGCGAAGGAACTGTGTTACGAGATGCATTCATCCATTGTTCTCGGTTAACGTTATGAAAACCGCCAAAATTTGAAATATATCCGCAAATTCTAAAATAGTTTAAATGGAGTATCTATCCAAGTTTCAAATTTCATCTTTAAAAATTTTAATATAACTTAATACATGGAATCCGTAATGAAATAAAAAATGCATTGGAATGAAAATGTCATCCTCAATGTGAAAACATAGCTGCTTGAAGATTTATTAGTTTATGACGACTCAAGCGTTCCTGAACTCTACGCAACCCGCCGCACAGTCAAGGATTAACCGCGTATTTACTGCATACAAGAATTCTGCCCCTTCGATTGTGAAATATCAGTTATTTCTTTTATTCTCGAACAAGTAAATCAAATTTTCCTATGGTAGTGTCACAGCGGACGCATGCCCAAGTACGAGGGAGTTCGTTTTAACGGTAGGATACTTGACACCATGTTCATACCAGGACTATTAAAAATCCCATTCTTACTATAACGTCATTTATCTATTAGAACTTTTGCTCAGTTAGCTTTCAACATGATTAACAATCACGTGGCCAGTAGCGAGTGATGTACGTATGTGTAACACTGCAATAATGAAGTATTGCTGAGTCCAATAGTAACTGTATGGTTTTGTATTGCTTAATGTTTTATTAGTTTGTGCTTTATTAAACGTACACGAGTTCGACGAATTTCCAACAATGAGTAATTATTTATTATTTTAGGTATAGTTATTTTCATTTTATATTAGATTTGTTGATATTAAATGTGCTTCTGATGAGTTCAGTTACTTTTGCGAAAAGATCTGTTGTTGATAGTCTTCTGTGATTGCTTGATCTTTTTCAGTAAGGCACTTATTTCGTTAAGCAGAAAATTATGTATGAGAATTCGAACTACAATTATTTTTGTGATTTCTTTCATTGTTGTTGCTCTTGTATTGTAGACTTCTGTAGCCAGTGTCTGTGAACTTCAACTGAGAGGTGTTTTGAATCGAATTAAGACTCTTTCCCGCTTTTATGCAAGAATGTGATTTTTATCCTTTGGTTAGTAAAGAAGTGTGAAATTTTTTTCATTATTATTATTATTTAAGTCTCCCAAATAGCTATTAACACGTGATTGACTATTAATACATTATTTGTAGTAACTATTAACACACAATATATTATGACGAAAATCGTAACAGAACATTTATCTAATGAATCTCATTAACACAACTCTAGATAAAACTCATAGTTATTAACATAAATATTTTTAAGAAATGCATTAAATTATTTTATAGCGATAGTAATTGACATTTATGATGCGTTTAGCATCGCTTTTTGGTTTTTCATTAAAATAGACCCCAAAAAATTTCGATTATCTTTCTTAACGACTTCCTTAGATGTACCTACATCAAATTTTCAATTGAGTGTGAGCTTGTTTAAAAATATCTTTGTATTTTTCGGGTTTTAAAGAGAGTGTAGCGTACGCAGTTATGAGAAGTTCTGTGAAGTTTCCGTATACACATGTATTATTCTTTTTGAATTTAATAATTATAAAAATGATGTACCTGTTGCAGAATATGAGCTCGTATGGAAAAACAGTGCTTTGTTACCTTACGAAGCGACACGTCGGCCTTCTGTTAAACAATCGTTAATAAAGATGTGACTTTATTTAGATTAAAAAATGAAGATATTGATTAAACCTTTTATTCAAAAACTGTGAAAAATGTTAGTGCATTTTTGGGTGCTCTATCGCATGTGGCACTAGATTCAGGACGTTAAATATCGAATTACATGTCTTCTTTCCTCGCGTCTAGTATTGCTCTTAAATTCCTTCCACTTGTTGATATTATGTCTCCCTCTTCACAGTAACACTTAACTTACAATCAGATGATATCGATCTGTAGACAAAAGAAATCTTTGTTCTCACGTCTGCAATGCTGTGTCCTTTGCATCTTGGATAGAGAACGTCAAAAACCAGTATAAATTATCATTCCGTGATTATTCATTCCGTAAAATTATCATTCCGCAGGCCAGCATGAGTGATCGGCATGTAGTATGAGTGATTTTTTATCTTCCAAACTTGAAGCATTTGCTTATGTCATATGTACTTTCATCTTTAAATCCAACGCATTTCTAAAGTCGATTAGAAATTATGATGGTCGTTCAAAGTCACTTGCACAGCAGATAACGTAATGCGTCCAGCTATTCATTTACCACCTATAATTCCTCTATCCGAACGTTGAGAACAGTGATCAATTCCATTCGAATTCTGAAATGAAATTTCTCTGAGTCCTTCCATATCCACAGAAAAGGTTGTATGACGATTATCAAATGTATATCATTCTTAAAAATAATTGAAGAAAATGAGATAAGTTGGACGTTACACTCGTTCAGTGTTTGCTCAACCAAAGATTGTTTCTCCTTTCACAATACATTCGTCGATGTTTGTAATCATGTGATTTATCTGTTTTCTAAAAGCAATGTGAATGTCTTGTAAAATGTGTTCTTGAGCACATTCCTAAAGACGGGAGAGTTTTTAAATGTTGATGTTCAAAATTTTTTAAAAATCACGAAACGTTTTATTATGCGATACTAAAAGTAACGATTATTATGCGTAAATAAGGTTTGAAATATAAAAGGCTTATATGAGATTCTTTGAAAGTTTTCAAGTGAATTTATAAATAACTTTTTCACATGCGCTCATGAAATACCTCCTTTCTCCGTTATATGGTAAAAGGATCGTAGCGAAATTTGCGTGGTCAGGTGGAAGAGCAGACCTTATGGCCTGAGTCTTGCCACGTAAAGTAAGGCATCAATTCAATTCTATTCAATTCAAAGTCAAAACTGATTTGACTGTCCGGACTGTACGGCGAATGTTTTGACTTCGTCATGTGGGTTGACGGGGGAGGGGGAGGCCTTGGTTTGTGTGCATGTTCTTATTACAGCATTAAAGGGTGTACGTGAATGAGTTCGTATGATTTCAGAGAAATTCTTAAATTTCATCGTATACGAAATAAACACACGATATTTTGTGATGTTTTCATGAAAATACGAGAATGTTAAATCTCATCATCGTATTTGTAATGTTTATTATAGAAATAACGACCTAACAATGAAAAGAGAGAACATTTAAAGCTTTTCAATGGCGAAGTTAAATATGGTCTCTAGAAAGTCATTTACTTGTATTTCAATGAGAACATAAATACGTATTTTGGTGAGCTCTGAAAAATCTCGAATCATTCACATAAGAATGCATAACTCTCTTCCTACGATATGATTGTGTTTTACACAACATTCCGAACAGTCCTATTTTTGTGACTTTTCTATCACCATATTTTGTTATTGAACGTTTGATTCTCTCAGAAGAGAGTATAGCAGCTGTTTCATTGCCCAACGTGTTACATAACGCACGTGCGTCAACAGGTGCGGTACACATATGCTTTGCACAAGAATGAACTTCAGTATTTGCTACATGTCACAAAATTCTGCCTGCAGCGCAAATAGGGTGGCCAAAAAAAGTTGCTCAGTCAGAGTTTTCTGTGTTGCGATGTAATAAAACCTTCATCAGAGAATAAAGAAGCTCACTGGAAGTTCCCGTCTTTCAGTACATTGGTTTGCAAGTGAATCAGGCAATTTCGAAATGGAGAGATATTGCTGACAGACGCTCTTCGTTCGGGTATGTTGTGTGCAGAAGTGGCGAAACATAAGATGTATTACAGAATGTGATAAACAGCAAAATATTTTTGTAGGTATCTATTCGGGAACTTTCAAACCACTGCAACACTTGCATTACGCGCCAGAGAGAGTATCTAGAAAAATATTGATATTGTTCCTGATTTTAGAGAAAAAATTACAAAATATTTTCTTTAATGTTTTCGGTTGATTTCTTTGCATGTTTGGCTGTGGTAATACGTTTGCAAAACTTTTGTTTTTCAGAAAAACTTAATGCAATATTAAACTCGTATGTACATATTTGGATTCGATGGAACCTAAAATAAAATCAATTTCTTTTTGTATCACGTAAACCTTTTCTGCAATGATAAGGATAGCTGGGATATTTTAATGCATTCTGCATTCATTTTCTTCATACATCTTCCATCTTATAGATACATATTCAATTATGATTATGTAAACAAATATTTATTTCATTTTTCTTTATCATTACTTTTGCTATTCTTGTCTCTTATGAAGCGTTTTCGTACCATAGTCAGCAGAAGGGGGAATTTTTCTCTGGCAGTGGCGGTGATCTTGTCCCTCTGGAAGGCGAAATCCGGCGCCTACCTAGTCGGCTAGCAGGGGTTTCCCCAACCAGGTATCTTCCTTCAGAGGGGCACCGCCCCAGCCTGGACAAGCTCTAAGTTCTCGACTGGTCTCCCAGCATATGTGGTAGAGTAGTGCATGTTAGTGTAGTGTGTGTATGAAAAGGGTGCGAAAAGGGTGTGTATGAAAAAGAAGAAGAAGGAAAGATCACACGCCGTCCGTGGCCCGTTTGATAGGGTGTTGCTCCGGCAATCGCCTGGTGTTGATCCTCCGATCACGGAAAACTACCACGGAAAACTACCGATCAGAGCAGCCGACTGCTGGAATTCTCCTCCAGACAGCGGGTGAATTCGACCTATGTATCTACGCAGTGTCGGAAATCTTTCCACCGTCGGCACTCGAACCTAGGACCTCCGATCAGAGGCCTTGCAGTGACATCAATTGCTGCCCTGAGCCACCTAAGTTGGTTGCCACATTTAGATGCCAAGACTCGAGACAAGGAACGTAAACGGACATTTTGTGGAAACATACATCCAAAGCAAACATACGACCTGAAAGTCTAATTATTGTAACATGGTAGTTTGGAAGGGAATTTTCCGTGATTTTATTTATTTTTCCAATGTTGCTTTATCATTAAAATGTTCAAAAAGAATATTACCAGCCGTCTTGTTGGTTGGATTGTCTCGTATTAGTCACGTTAAATTACGCTCGACGCAAACCAGGCAAAACGTTTTTTTAACGGATTAGAATATGCTCTCCTTTATACAATACCGTTTACATTGAACAATGGCACTGCATATACAGGAAACAGTTTTGGTGAGTGCCAGTGACGGAATAGTCTTATAACGTAGTCGTCTGTTCCCTTCCTAGCAACGCGGCGCATTTGGTTGAAGACTGAATAAACAATCAGAACGCTTTGAGAGGTCGAGTCGACTGGATCAAAAAGATTCTCATTTCCGTGAGATGGTTAATGTCATACTAGTCGGGCGTAGTGTAAAAGAAGAGAGGGTCAACTATATTTCTCGATCTCTCCGGACCAGATTTTTCATTGAACGTTTTTTAAAAGGTGTCATACTTTCCTTCAAAATGAGCAACACATAGTTCGAAGAGAATGAAATTATACATTTAATGATACACAGACGGACCTTCACATATCGAACTGGCGATTTTTACAATAATATTCGATATACAGAAACTTCGATACACGGAAATAATTTTTGTAAATGATTTTAAACTATTTTGAAATAATGTGGAAAATGCAAATTTCAATAATAAATAATTATCAAATGTACTACGTATTTATGTACCGTAACCTTAAATTAGGAATACATACCTACCTGACCAAATCATTGAATTGATTTTTTAATTCGAATTTGTTGTTGCACACATCATGAATTTAGTTCAAAATATTGTTCACACTTCTTAATTCACTGAAACATTGTATTTAAAACATTTTCTCTCAATCGAAAACCATCCCGAATTGTTAGACGCAATTTACAGGTCGTAATGTACATGTTTATTCGAGTTCGATGTATAGAAATAATTTTTGATATGCAGAAAAATGTTTAAACAGAATTTTCAAGAGACAGTAAAATAATTTAAGTTATTGAGAATTTCGATATAAAAAGGTTTGAAATATGGAGATCACACTGTAATTTAACAAACAATTGATTTAATGTTGAACTATTTTCAGAATTGTCAGTGAGTTTAGAGAGGTTTTTCCCTAAATATTATTTATCAATATTCACCTTAAGTACCAGCGTAAAGGGGGAATCGGGAATTGATCATATTTACAAGAATAAAATATTTTATTACTTAGGACTAAGGAGTCAATTTCGAAATTTTCAATGGAGTGCCCACGACTCCAGCCCGTCTGTTTGCACGCCTTTGGGTATTGTACGTTACAAGTTTTCACCAGAACGCTTTCAGTGATGTACTCGAAGTCGCATAGGTTCTCAAATCCATGAGTAGAGGATTGGATGAAATATGTTAAAGTTTCCACGAGCACTAGAATGTCACAATAATTTTTAGTTGATGTACGAAACATAGTGTAAGGAGTCTGATATAATAAATACTTTATTTGTTGAGAAAAACTAATAATTTCTGAAGAGTGGTAGAACCACGTGCCGAGCTGTCAACTGGAAATGTAAAAGGTAACTTTCAGAAGATTGAAATGTTACTATCGCAACTTCCTCACGCTAGTCCTCCTACTACTCGAGATCTGGATGTTAGTTATGCTGCGCTGGGCGTGTCTACGTAAGCAGTTACTGTTCGTTTCACTGCTCTGGCAGTTCCTGTGAGACCAAGCGTCCAGGATCTCGAAGGGACAAAGGGACTATGTTAGTAGTACATACTGAGAAGCATACATAGGAATACATGGCTGACATATTGACACAGAATCACAATTGCTGAAGCTAAAACGTGAAATATTAAATATAGATTCCTATTTGTATGTACTCATACAATGTAAAAATAAGAAATAATTTTCCAAATTTCATCATCTGAAACGGTGGAATAGTGATTGTGATTTTTTTGTTTTTTGTTCAAAAAGAGAAAAAATCACTTAAAATTAAGGCGTAGATTAATTTATTATTATAACCTCTGGAGTTTCAAAAGTTACAAAACCCCAACATTTTTCGACAACCACTTACAACTACATTATGGAAGATTGATGCAATTTATTTCTCAGCATTCGATTTATTGATATTGGATAGTAACGTTAAGCCTGTATAGAGGTAAAACAAAACAAGAAATTTAAGTGTTTTTGTACCCCTCTCTCCACACGTCTTTAAGCACTATCTCTTAATCCAGACAAGAAATTTCTTCTGAAATAGCTTTCCTGATATTCAAGAGACAGGAAACTCTGGTTTAGGAATATTTCAATTTCTAGAATATTTAAAGCAACGATTAGTTTCTCAAAAAGGCGAATAACCGTTTCAAAAACAATATCCCTTATTTATTGCTTCATAAATTTCAGGCTTCTCTACTTAATATATTTTATGACTATTATTTTTTTCTTCTTTATCACTTGACATCACCACTAACATTCACGATTAAAGCTTTTTGAACATGCATTTTATCATCAATAATACTTTATTTATTATTTAGAGTGTTTCATAAGTACCGATGTATTAGGAAGATTCTTTTATTTCCTCAGTAAGAAGGAAAACAATGTATTTTATCACGAACAATAACCGACGCTTTGTCACAAATAAAAACGGAAACAAGCACATGAACAGAAGACGGATGTGGAGTCTGAAGCCTCTCTTGAAATAAAATGTAATCCTGCATTTTGTGATGGTTACGTCGTTTGACAGTTTCAGATGTTAGAAAAACCAGAGATAAACCGCGATGTAAAACTCCCTGTAGACGGTTCTTGTGTCTTGAGACCTAGAAGAAGAAATCCCTACCAAATCTCCCTCTTCTGCCTGCCCCTCTACCGATTATCGGTTTGGTGGGCGGATGCGTAAGCAATTAGGTCAAAACATCGCACAGCTGAATGTATTTCCTGTTTCACGCCTTCACATCTATTTCTGCCCTCTTCCATTCCTTTTAAACCCCTTCCTCCACTTGCAGTCACCTCACTCCCCATCCATTGCGTTGATGGGTTTTGTGATCCCGTGTTGGTTACTGGAAACAGACAACTGATGCTGCATGGCTGGCAGTCGTGTTCAGGGAGCATCATCTGTCATCGATGCGAAACGCGTGGCGACATTGGATGATGAAGGAGAAGAGGAAAACCGCTACCCGGTCTGTGTCCACACACGTCTCCTTCCCAGCAAAGATACTTTTCTTCAGGTGCAGTGACCGGGAGAGATGGCTCAGGGCATCAACTGATGTCACTAAAGTCTCTCTGACCGGGAGATATTGGGTTCAATGCGATCAAGGACGTTTTTTCAAATGTTGCACGCAATGCTTTATAAATATAAATAACTGTGAAAGCAAGAGTATTTAAAGGAGTCTGCCGATATTCTGGCAATTACATTAAGATGAGTGCTTTTGGGCAGTAAAGCGGTTTACAGAAAGCAAACTTTAAATCACCTTAAAAGCACTCTGAGTTGATTGCGTAATCAATAATTAACGTATAGATATAAAACTAACTATGCGCTAATATGAGTAGGATATTCGTAACATTATTGTCGCTTATGTATATTTGGTGGATATTTCTGTAAACCAAAAGGGTCAACAAAACAGAGCAATAAGTCAGTAAGTAATAAGTCAGTAAGTAATAAGTCAAATTGTAGGGCTTTTGGTGTCAGACGCATCTTATTTCATAAAATCATTCTTGCCCCAAAATATGAGTAGAAAAGCTACGACGGACACTCAGTAGTGAATAATGATTTGCTTCTGGATGCAAAACTTTAAGAGCGACATTAAAGGAAGATGAAAGTCTTCACATTAAGGAACTTCGTCGTAAAAGAGTTATAGTTATCAATGTGAATCACCGCCAGTCCTCTTTGAAGTTTTGAATTTTAGTGCCTTCATTAGTGGCGAATTCGTGTTCACTTTTGTGTATTCTACATTTTTTACCTATATACGAAAAACCGTTTATATTAATTATTAGTAACTTTTTAAATTAACTTCAATTTTTATATCAATCACTACTAAGGCGAACTTAATTGTTAGCAACATTCTCGCTTCCCTAAAAAACAATATATTTTTGTCCAAACTAATAAATTTTCCAAAATTAAATAAATGTGAAATTGGAAATCAGGTAAAATATATTTAATAGTGTGAAATCAATATCTCGTCACTCAAATTTGTATGATTGAAAATTAAATTGACTTAATTATTATCCATTTCTGTGATGTGGTTGATATATTGTCCCACGACAAAATGCTAATCCTATTACCGTGTTTTAGTCACCGTAAAATTATATTTATTTGTAATTAAATTGACAAGCAAAGTAAATATACGTTTTCCATAGCTAAAACGTCAAAAAAACGAAAATCTTTCCAGGAGTATATAATCGAATTGTATTCAGTTTAAATACTTCCCCTATACTATTGTAGAGTAATTTTCTGTTTTCATATAAAGACATTTTACAATTCATCAGCGTTCTTTACTTACGTTCAACAACATACTACCTATATAATGAAAAGGTAGAAAAAAATTTCCGAAATCATTGCGCCAATGAGACAAAAATAAAATGCCTACTCCAATTTACACAAGTTACTCTTTCATTTTCATTTGCTTCGTTCAATAAGAGAACTACAGAACTAGGGATAAAAATCTTACGTTTTGCACTGCCAGTTCAGTTTTCTTTATTTTAATAGATATTTATTTTCAAAAACGGAAATAATATTTTTATCAAAAAATAAAACTCTTTGCGCTTGAATCGACAATAGAATCCAAGGAAGTTAATTCTTACAAATGAATGAAGGTGTTTTTGACATTAATGATAAACTTGACATTTTATTTAGCGAATAATAAACGCTGCAACACGAGACTGATACGCTGATTGGTGCAGTTCTACGAGCAAAATAAAATTCAAGTATATTATTGTATATTAAATGTGTACTACATTACTTTAAGGTCAGTACCATCAGATGCGATCAGACGCAATTATTTGGTTTTACCTGTTGCGTTCTTTTGTCTGAACATTTTTGCAACGTCTCACTTTAAGTACTAGAGCAAGAAATTGAATTTTTAGCGCACTCTGCTTGTCCTAAAAGTAACCGCTTTTACTACAGACTGTCTAAAATAATATTTTTACTTTCGAGAGACATTGTGTAATTCTTTACGAAGATGTACACTAAAGCGGCAAAGCTCATATTATTTTTACACATTGTACTTGTGCTAAAATCGAACGTGTTTTATTATTACATAAGATTGTTGTCAAGACTGTGTGATATAAATTCAAATGTTGCAATGTTTGTAGATTACATTACAGTGAAATTGTCAGCAGTAAATTATTTTTTTAACTGACCAAAGAATAATGTAATTACTTATGATGTCAAGATCAACGAAACAAATGATGATTTACGTAGCTGTAAAGGATAAAAAAATTAAAATATTAGTCTAATTCACGTTCTTTATATATTATCATTATGGAAGAGTAAATGAAATATTTTTGGTACTACCAGATCTGGGCCTACTTCAAGTAGAATCTATTTTTCGTTTCTGCAAATAGTGAACTAACCTTTGTCTAAAAAAGAACATATTTAAGCAAAATCATTTCCTAATTAACCATTCTCCACAATTAGTCTACTGGCACTTTATTGACCAACAGAATATATTTTCAAATATCTTTTTTTCAGTTAATGTGATGATCGCGTACCAGAAGCTGAGAAATTCAGAGAGTGAACAATTTGTATGAGAATGAACCTGGCATATGTTTCTCAAATTTAAGCAATGTGAAGTTTTTGTAAAAGTAGTCACAAAATAAGTTATCACAAACACAGTGAAAGAAAATCGGAATTGATGCATTTCACTGCAACCTCTTAAGTATGTATATCTGCCACTTTGAGACCGAATTGAACGATTTTGAACAGTCGAAAAAGCAACTGCCCCGCGAACGGCCAGTCGAGTCGATTGAGTAGCAAGTTGATTGAGATCGTTTTCTACCACTACATATTTTAAGTACTACGAATTTTAACGATCAACAAAAACAAACGCCCCGCAAATAACTAGGTGATCTCTATCGACTTGTTGCCTAGGTCTGGTTTTTACCACTTCGAATTTGAACGATTGACAAACACAAATTCCACACGAATGCCCAGGCGATCTCAAGTGCCCAATTCGCCCAGGTGTGTTTCCTGTAACTACGAATTTCCACCACTACATACTTTTATCACCAAGATTTTGAACTATCGACAAAAACAAATGCCCCGCGGACGACTTGTTGATCTCAATCGCCCAGGCGTATTTCCTATAACAATGCATTTCTAACACTGCATACTCCTACCACTACGATTTTGAACTATTGGAGCAAAAACAAATGCCCCGCAAACGAACAGTAGATCTCAATAGCCGAAATCGCGTAGGTGTGTTAGGCGATTTTCCCAAAAAGTCTAAGCATGTTTCTCTATCATTACATATTTCTACCAATACATATTTCTACCAATACATATTTTTACCACTACATATTTCTACCACTACATATTTTTACCACTACATATTTCTACCACTATGAATTTAAACGAGTGACAAATTCAAATGCCCAACAAACAACCAGTTGATCGCAATTGCCCCAATCATGTAAGTGTGTTTTCTATCACCACATATTTCTAATGCTGCTTATTTCTACCACCACGAATTGGAACGATCCACAAAATCAAAAGCCGACCAGTCGATCCCAATCGACTTGATCATTCCAATTTTCTGCGCACCTCCACCACCCATTCCGCCGTCGGCAGTCTTACCTGCGCCGGCGGCGTGGCGAGCGAGCGGAGGCGGGCGCGGAGCGTGGGCGCGAGCGTGGGCGTGGGCGAGGGCGTGCGCGGCGCGCGTGGCACTGGCGCGCGGAGGCTGCGTCCGCCGCGGCGGCGGCGGCGGGGGCGGAGGCGGCGGCGTCGGCGCGGTGCGATATCAGCGCTGGCGCACTCGGCGAGACAGATAGAGAGGCCGGCGGACGGCAGACGCGACGCGCAACGCGCGCCGAACAGACGCGATCGCTCGGCGCGGGCTTTGCAGTGAGGTTGCAGTGAGGACGGCGATGCTCCCAAGAACTCGATGTTTTAAGCATTGATTGATAAAGCTAGTGCGACAGGGACGTTGATGCTCTCATGAACTCGATGTTTTCGTACAAGTATCGATGTGATAAACATTGATAAAGCCATTTGTTTAAATATCGATGTGATCGATGCATTTCTGTTGTTTTTTCGTAATCCAAAGTTTGTTAAATTTAAAACACAATGGCACCTCTCTCTTTACTTGTACGAAACAGTAGACGCGATCTCTCAACGCGGGTTTTGCAGTGAGGTTGAGCCTGGGATGTTTTCGTTCAACAATCGATGTTTTAAACACAGATTAATAAAGCCATTTGTTTAAATATCGATAATTTGTGTTCGATGCTTTTCTCTGGGTTTTTTTTCCTAATCCATATTTTGTTAAATTTAAAACACGAAATAATTGATGGCACCACTCACTTTACGGGTACCAAACAGTACACGCGATCTCCCAACGCGCGTTTTGCAGTGAGGTTGCGACAGGGACGTCGATGCTCTCAAGACCTCGAAGTTTTCCTATAAGTATCGATGTTTTTGAATCGTTATATTGAAGTCGATTGAATTTTAAAGTCGATTTTGTTATCAAATCTTGCCAAAAAACGCTAACTTCTTTCCGTATTCAGAATTCAACTAGTATATGACAGGGGTAAGGATGCTCTCAAAACCTATGTTTTCGTAGAAGAATCTATGTTTTAAACACCGATTGATAAAGCCATTTTTTTAAAATATCAATGTTTTTTCTCGATGTTTTTCTGTTTGTAATCACAATGTTGTTAAATTTTAAACACGAAATAAATGATGGCACCACTCAGTTTACGTGTACGAAGCAGAAAACGCCATCTCTCAACGCGGGCTTTGCTGTGAGGTTGCGACAGGGACGTCGATTCTCTCAAGACCTCGATGTTTTCCTATAATTATCGATGTGATAAACATTGATAAAGCCAGTTTTTTAAAATATCGACGTTTTGTGCCAAGGTTTTTTATGTTGTTTTTTTTTTTGCGTAATCACAGTTTTGTTAAATTTAAAACACGAAATAAATGATGGCACCATTCATTTTACGTGTACGAAGCGACAGACGCGATCGCTTAGTGCTGGCTTTTTAGTGAGGATGCGTTGTCGATGTTTTTAAGGCTTCGGTGTTTTTGTAGAAGCATCGATGTTTTAAATATCGATTGTTAAAACAATTTTTGAAATATCGATGTTTTGTGCTCGACGTCTTTCTGTTTTCAATTTTTTTTAATCCCGTAATCACAATTTTGTTAAAGTTACAACACGAAATAGCTGATGGCATCACTCAGTTTTGGTATAAGTATCAAGCGTCTGACGGGCCTGCCAGTAAAGTGGTTGCGGGTCGCACGGCAACGAACAGACGCGATTGCTCAACGCCTGCTTTGCAATGAGGATGAGACAGGCGTGTCGATGTTTTCAAAGCTTCGATGTTTTCGTAGAAACCTCGATGTTTTTAGCATCACTATATTAAAGTTGATGTTTGTAAAGTCGATTTTATTACAATTCTTGCCAAACCCGGTCATTTCTTTCCGTATTCAGAATTCCCAGTAGAAATACCTCCCACCAGACACACTGCACTGGCAACAATTGACGATGCCCTCAGCTATCTCACTCAGTCCAAAAACGGAACAAAACTCAGTGCAATAGTGTAAAATGTGATAAAACGAGGTGTAAACGTGTCGAAACAGCGAGGTACACACGTTATGGAAACTGAGAATTCGAGATGTAAGAGTCGAAACGGTCTAAAAACGAAATGAAAGGCGAGAAATGGAGGATGAAACGTGGAGGGAGGAAATAATCACGCGAGTGGTGGATCCAGGGCAGGGGCACAGGAGCCACGCTCCCCAAAAGGCCTAGAGTTTTCGTTTATACTTCATTTGACAAAATTGTTGTAAATGTTTTTTATGTTAATTATATATTTTTGACATTAATGTTGAATAATATTATATCTACAGTACATGGACAATACACAATTTAATGACAAATATGTTTATTATTCAACAAAAATCTATGATGTCCCTCTCTCCCAAAATGATCGGTTGGATCCGTTCCTGCACGCGGCACATATGCACCTAGCAAAGAGCGACAGAGGGTAGAGTCTACATTGGAGGAAAACTACCCAAATATCACCTTGCAGTGAACATCCTGGCCAGCAGTGAAGACATCAGAAGATTAAAACGACACCACCCTCTAAACCTCGGTTATAGATGCAAAATCGTGTAAATCGTGTAATCACTGAACTACGTTAAATAATTTAATTTGTATCTGAGATGCTCTGTTTCAGGACAATTCTTCACTCAAGATCATTCTATTCGTAAATAATTCACCGATGTTCATCTCAGGAATAAATTATGAATAAACAGTTGATTACAAAAAAACATTGCAGAGCAGAGTGTGCAAGGCAAAAAGAGACCAAAACGAGGATAAAAACGCGTAGGAACTATGTACAAATAAGATTAATATGAGAAAGTGAGATGTGAGAAAACTATTGACTATTTCGTGTTTCGAGGCGCGTGAAAAGCTATCAACAATAATTCCGTAAGTGTTCCTATCACATGAAGTGGTGTTCATTCACCGCTGCATGGTAGAATCCAATGTCGTCCTACATGTCAGGCTGAGGGTTTTCCCCAACCACGTATCTCCCACCAGCATGGCACAGCCCCAGCCGCATTATACTCTAATCTCCTGACATGCCTCGCAAAATATGCAGAAATTTAGTGCATATAGTAAGTGCAAATGCTTGCAAGACACGTGTAAGTTTAAGAAGAGGAGTAAAAAGATAGCGCACGGTCCGTGGCCCGTTTGTTATGGAACTGCTCCGGCATTCGCCTGGTGTTGATCGGAGAAACTACCTATCAGAGCATCCGACTACAAGAGTTCTCCTCCATACAGCGACACTTTTCGATCTAGCTGACAAGCTAGTATCGAAAATACTGCCCCCACGAGTCGTTGGGATAGGAACCCTAGAACATCCCGGTGAGAAACACTGCAGTTGCTACCCGGAGTCTCCTAATCTCGTGTTTGAAAACGAGATGCAAACGCGCTGAAACGGAGAGAAATGTTTCCGGGACGAGATGCGAGTGCGACGAAGCGAGTGGAAGGGGCGAGATACAACTAGTGGTGCTAAAACAGCACGTACTTGTTCGCCCTCACTTCTTGATCACACACGACCTCACTTCAAAATTTCTCTTTAACATCATTACGTCATTCTTTAATATCTTTACATTTCATTAAGAGTAATATCTATATTTAATATTTTACTTGAAGAAAGACACCGAAAAATTTGAATTTTCGCAATTTTCGAAAAATTGCTGTTTGAAACGAATAGACCTTCACCGTTCTTTTAAACGTCCTTTACACTATCCCAAACAAATTTTAATCTAAATCAATGGAGCGATTTCTTTGAAAATTTTGTAAAAGTCCCAGGGGCTTCATATAATATACCACCCAGAATGAAACAATCGATTTTAAATTTAAGGATCCTCGACATACACCAGATCTGTGAGGAATATCAATTTTGGAGAAAATCTGCTAAACGGTTTAGCCGCTAGCGTTGTTCACACACTAACAGACAGACACATTATAGGCATTGAATTTTTCGTTGTGAAAGACCCACAAAACGTGGATTATGGCTACAGCGCGTGTTAGAGGACTTTTTTTCTAAATTTAGCAACTGAATTTATTTACTTGTTTTTCACTAGGGCTCTGGAATATTTTTTTCTGCCAAAAATTCGCCGTTTTTTGGCGCTTCATTATAAAACTTTCTCTCTAC